TGCAGCTCACCTCAGGGAGAATCTGCCTTCTCTCTCAGGGAGCATAAATGGCTGGGTTTGTTAGGGTGCTGTGTGGGCAATCTGAAAAGGGGGAGCTCAGATCACCGCATGTGTGTAGATCCTATGGCCAGTGCCAAGGTGACAGCCACCTGGAGACACTGTTGGAGAGCTGATGTGACAGTAGACAAGGGCCTGAGTTCAGGGAGGACAGAGGAGAGGCAAGGGTGTCAAGAGGTTTTGCAATAGATAATCCATGTACTTAAATCCAGGAAGAGGAGTGGGGAGAGCTCAGGACTTACAGTCCATGCAAGAGGATGAATAACGACATCACGGACTCCGGGGGACCACCGGGGATGAGGGGAGGAAAGAGGAGGAGTGGGCCAATTATACATTCTTTGGACCTGATGAGTTCGAAGCACGAGCAGGAACTCGTGCTTTTCCATAGGAACTGGAAAGAAAGGAATATTCTGCTGTCTGGCCTGTACACAGGACTAGCAGTGAAGGATGTCAGGATGGCTCCGTGGTGAAGAGCACTTGCTTTTACAGAGAGCCCAGCTTTGGTTCTTAGTGCCAATACCAGGTAGCTCACAACTGCCTGTAACTCCAGTGCCAAGGGATCCAAAGCCTTCTTCCTGTCCCTGGGAGCACTGCCTGAATGTGGTGTGTATTCATACAACCCCCCCTACACACACACACACACACACACACACACACACACACACAGAGAGAGAGAGAGAGAGAGAGACAGAGACAGAGACAGAGACAGAGACACAGAGAGAGAGACAGAGAGAAGAGAAGGGTTGATCCTAAGTGGGAAGAATTTGGAGATGAATAATTCTTTGCATGTGGGTTCATATGTGCACATGTGTGCAAGCCCACATGTGTATTTTACCCGTGTGAGCACTCAGGCAGGCCAGCAGTCACCTCCAAGTATCTTCCTCAATCACTTTTTTCTACTTTATTTTTGCACAGGGTCTCTCATTGAACCTGATATTTGCCATTTCAATTCACAGGTCCCCGGAGCCACCCGCGCTTGCCCCTCTTCCCAGAGCTAAGTCAATGAATGCTGGGGTCTGAACTCAGTCTCTGTGCTTGCCCAGAGAGCTGTTGACCCACTGAACCACTCGCACCAGCCTGAATTATTTTTCTGAGACCCAGTCTCACACTGCAGCTCAGGACGGCCTTGATCTCAAAACAAACCTCCTACCTTAGCTTCCCTAGTGCTAAGATTACAGGTATGGACCACCAAACTCCCATTGGGAATTTCCATCTAAGAAGTATTCCCTGAGATCCTTGCCAAGACCAACTGAAAGTACCGTTGGCAGGAGCGTCATTTCCAGCTGTAGATCCCGAGTGGATACAGTGTAGCCTTTGGCCAGTCTGATTTCCAGTACTTTCTGCTTCTAGCACCTACTCAGTGTTTACAGCTTCCTTGTCACTGGATTTAGGCAGAGAAAACAGCTTGGGGGTAACCTGAAAAGGTAGGACATCCTAAGGGACCTCAGAACTCAATGCTTTGCTACCAGGGTTTGAGTCCCCAAGCCTACAGACAATTGGGGTCTGTGAGACATAGAAAATGCCATCGGCATGCAGCCAATCACAATGCTTTTTCCTTCTTAATAATGTTGACAAAAAGAACCAGGAAAATAAAGAATGCTTAAAGAACAAGGGAGCCTCACCTCACCCTAGTTTTAAAGTGTACATGACTTGTTGTGTATGTTCGTGTGAATGTTCGTATGTGTGCAGGTGCACATATATGTGTGTTTGGGGGTCAGAGGTCACCTTCCAGTGTCATTCCCCAGGAGCTGCCCACCTGATTTTTTGAAACTGGTCTGGAAATCATCAAGTAGGCTGGCTAACTGGTTGGAGATCCCAGGGGTTCCTTACAGGCATGTGCTATCATGCCCAGTTTTGTTTTGTTTTGTTTTGTTTTTTAAAACAAGAGTTCTGGGAATCTAGCTTGGGTAGGTCCTGTAAGTTTTGTTGACTGAGCTATCTCCTTAACCATACACATTTCCCCCCCTTTGAGACAGATCATACTATAAAACCTTGGCTAGCCTAGAACCTTGTGCAGAACAGGTTTGCCTTGAACCCTAAGAGACTTACTTGTCTCTGCCTTTCTAGTACTGGGATTAAATGCATGTCCCACCATAAGCATTTTTTGTTTTTTAGAAATGAAGTAATTTACTAATTGCTTATATTTTGGTACAATAGAAATAATGCTATATTGGGGTGAGTTTCTCATTCTAGGGGTAGGGGCCAGTTTCAAAGCTTGTAATCTCAAGCATATCAAATGGCAATTTGGAGTCCTGGTTGTGCATCAGATAGGGCTTGAACACTTTAAATCCTATTTCTACAGTGTTCCCTGACTGTTGCCATGTCAGAACTGTGCGACTTCTATAAAGAACTATGGCTCTCCATATGCCAGTTAGGGTTTTTAATATTGTTAAGGTACTTGAAAGACTGACAGTTTGAATACGTATTTGTGTGGCATTAAGCTGTAGGTTGGTCGGACTTACATACAGCTCATCAATGTCTGAAGACCTTCTGTACTAGAAGAGCTGCTTTGGGGAAATTGGGAGCTGGAATAATTATTTCAAAACGAATCACAATACACAGATTTCTAGGACATATGTTAGCAATTGTACACAGATTGGGCCGGCCAAACGGCTTGACGAAGAAAGTGCTACGCTGAACATGTATGGCAACCTGAGACTGAGCCCTAGGAGAAGGGACTCCACAAAGCTGTCCTCTGTCCTCTGACCATATATGCACTGTGACATGCAAGCACATGCACACACATGTACACTGATAATAACAATGGTCATAATAAGCTGTATATAAATTGAAATGTCTTTGTACCAACTCTCAGCACAAACAATAAAATCTCAATTATGGCAAAAAAAAAAGCTGTTGGAAGGAGGGGGCGCCCAACATGTGGCTAAGAATATGCCTCCACCTGCGATTATAGGTTAATGAACCAACTCTTGCCTAATCCTATCTTCCCCCTCACTGGAATTGTTAGTCTTTGTTTTATAAGGTTATTTCCCATTCATCTGAGACACCATTAGAGAGAATATGGCATTGAAATCATTCCCATCAGTGATGGAAATAGCTGAGATTAGCTCTGATATCCCTGCAGCTGTTAAGCAAATCAAAAAGGCATTAACCGCAAGTTGAAATTTACTCCACCAGCTGAGGTAAAGACACACACTCCAGCCTGCTAAATGGACCCTTTAGCGCTTTGCTTGAGACTTGCTGAATGCTGGTTGTGCGTCAGGGCCGCCAAATCTAGGACCATAGCCCTGCGCTCTTCAGGGAGAGATGAGTTCAAGCCCCTCGCATCCCACTCCTGGTTTCTGGGAGTGTGTTTAAGAGGAGCAGGGCCTGTAGACTTCACAAAGTGGCTGTTTTGCATGTGACAACTGAGAATGAAGTGTAGTTGTGTTAGCAAGCTCAAGGTCCTGGGTTCAACCCGCAGTACCAGAAAAAGAAATTAAAACAAAGCCAGCCCTTCCTACCTCTGCAGGAGTGTTGATGGCTCTAAGTTGGGTGCTCAGGGTTGTGTGCCTGGGAGCTGGAGCTCCTGACTGTGCTGCCCATTTGCATTTTAACTCTCCTCTGGCCTGCTACACCCATTCACAAACAGACATGATCAGTCCTAGGGTCTTCAGAGGACAGGGCAATGGTTAAACCTAAAAAGCCCTTCATTAGGGGCAGGAGAGGAGCCTGTTAAAAACACTTGTCAAGCTTGCTCCCTGCAAACAGCATAAAGGTGGAAGAAAAGAATCAATTTCAAAAAGCTGTCCTCGAACCTTTGTATGCATGCAGTGGCATGTATGTGTTTACATATACATATCAAGATCACACATACAGCAACAATGACAAACTAAAAAAAAGTGTTCCCCGGGGCTGGGAAGAGAACTCAATCAGTAAAGTGCTGGCTTTGTAAGCAGGAAGACCTAAGTGTGAACTCCAAAACTCATATTTAAAAAAAAAATCCGGGCCTAGTGGCACATTTTTGTAATTCAACACTGGGAAGCAGAGACAGGTGGTTCCCTGGGGCTTGATGGCTAGTCAGCCTGGTCTACTTTGCAAATCCCAGACACTGAGAGACTGTAAGCTTAATAGTGCCCAAGGAATGATGCATGAGGTTGTTTTCTGGTTTCTACGTGCACATGTATACATGTAAACACACACACATAAGTCACGTCACTACATCACGTATACAATTCTCACGTCACGTTAAGGAAAATTTATTCAAATAGGGAAATGCACACTGTATTTTTCTTTTTGTGTATGTGCATGCATGTTTGCATGTGTCGATAAGAATGTGGAGGCCAGAGTCTAACTAGCCAGTTTGGCTCAGGGACCCCCTGTCTCGGCCTCTTGAGCACTCGTACTATAGGCAGGTCACACACACACACACACACACACACACACACTGGGGATTTGAACTCTGGTCCTCAGGCTTAAGCTGCAAGTGCTCCATCCACTGATCCATCTCCTCAGCCCTCTGACATCTTTTGATCACTTTATCCTTCCTTGCCAGAAGGGCATTTCAACCAGTCCTATAGGAGAGAAATCCATACATATCAAGGGACCCCAGTGGCACTTAAGACAGAAGCAACAGCCACAGAGGCTTCTTATGGAGCGTCAAGCGGCACCAGAACAAATCCCAGAACTTGCGGCACGATACAAGACTCAGTTTACTTTGAGATGTGTGACTCTCTCCCTCCGCTCCCCCCAAATAAAGTTTATCTTCATTCCACACGTATCCTCACACGAACATGCTAGCCTGCGGCCACTGCACACACTGATGGGCCCAGAGAGGTCATACCTGAGTTTTCATCTTCTCGGAATGTAGCTGTGCTATGGCCTTTGTCCCTAACCTCAGACCAAGAGATACTTGATCTCCCTTTGCCTTTGAGTCTCTTCATCCTTCCAGACTTCTCTGATGAAGAACAGAGAAGCAGAGCAGGGATTCCAGGAGCACCCACCTGACACAGAAGTACAGAACAACGGGTCCAGACTTCTTGGGGAAGTCGTGCTCCAGGACTCTTCGATCCAGCTGAAGCCAGTTCAAGTGTCCCCTGGGGAAAGGAGAGGCAGCGGGTTAGGTTGTCCGACTGGGCAGGTCTTCAGAGATGAGGGTCTCGGGGGAGAGGGGCAGAACCCACTAGGTTATAGGATGCAGGGGATCTTGAATCCTTCCCGGTATTTCAGTAATGGATGAACACTCAGGGATTCCCTTGGGGAAAGAGTGTCCGAGAGAACTGCTGTATGGCGGGGACAGGACATGAATCATGAAGCCAAGATGAGAGGTCATGCCTGTTTCCTATAACCACAGCTCTCTCTCTTGGCCTCAGTTCCCTCCCCACTCCTTGGGGTGTGCGCTTTCCCTATAGAATTCAGAGCACGCCTTAATAACATGCTAACCGTCCTCACATCGTCCTTCTGGAGGCAGTCGGGATGCCATATGATGCACACTTTCTTAACCGTAAACCTACATAAGATCAAGCCATTATTCCACTTCTAGGGTTCACCCTTCCTTTCTACAAAAGGAGGCATTTGTCGACACAAGGCCTCTTCCACACGAGTTCACAGATACTGTATATGAACACACTGGCATGGCCCAAACCAATCCCAGGGTTTTACCAACAGAAGAATGAGTGAATGACCGTATAGCGCCCAAACGGAATACTACACAGCAACGAAGAGAAAGCGCTACTGCTGTCAGCAGTGACGTAGACGAGCCTGAGCATAGAGAAGCTGAATGGATGAAGCTTCAAATGAAAGATTTAAAAAGGTACAAAATTGTCTGGCCAATATGTTGTTGTAAGACTCTTCCAAAATTTCTCTTTTTGTGTATGTATGTGTGTGTGGGTGTATGTACAAATGTGTAAAAATGCATGCTCGTGTGTGGGAGTGGGCGTGTAGGCCAGAGGTTGATGTTAGGTGTCTTCCTTAAATATTCCCCCTTTTATATCGCAACAGGGTCTCTCGCTTGCACCCAGAGCTCAGTCCTCAGCCTAGTTTAGCTAGTTAGCTTGCTTCAAGGATCCTTTCTCCACTTCTTGAGCCATTGGATTATCAGTGAACCTTGATGGCTGCCCAGCATTCACATGTGTTCTGGGGATCTGAACTCTGGCCTTCATATATGCATTCCCGTGAGCCACCTCTGCAGCCTCTTAGATTTGGTTTATAATAGCTCATAAATGCAAGTGAGGGACTGACAGGAGCCAAAGACCAGTTGTCTCCACGTTTCCCGGGGCTAACAGTAGATGCTAAACAATTTCATTGTTGCTGTTAAGGAAACAAATGCAGGGCTGATGAGATGGCTCAGAGGGTAAGAGCAATGGCTGCTTTGTTCAGAGGTCCTGAGTTCAATTCCAGGCAACCACATGATGGCTCACAACCATCTATAAGGAGATCTGGTGCCCTCTTCTGGTGTGCAGGCATCCATGCAGGCAGAACACTGCATACATAACACATAAATCTTTCTAAAAAAAAGAAGACAAATGCATCAATTTTTCAATGTGTCCCAGATAGCCATATTCTCTATGCATATCATGCATATATGTGAGCTCACATGTGTGTGGGTTCACATTCATGTATGTGTGCATACGCATGTCCAAAGCTGAGGTCAGATGTCTTCCTTAAGACCTCCCACTTTATTGAAACAGGATCTCTAGCTGAACTCAGAGCTTGCTGATTCCAGCTAGTCTAGTGAGCCACCTTGCCCCAGGGTTCCCCTATCTCTGCCTCCCAGGGGCTGAGAATAAAGAAAGTCTCCTTGCTAGCCCGATTTTTACTTGGGCTCTGCGGGATTTCAATTTTGGTCCTCATGCTTGTGGAACAAACGCTTTATCCACTGAACCGTCTCCCCAGCCCTGAAATCCATTTTCTTAAAGATCAGTGACTGTCACTAGGTACAGCCAATGCTTCTGCCCCAGGTGTGAGGAATTCCTTCTGCTTACCTAGCCTAAGACCCAGGCTCTGCAGCATCATTTGCACTGTGGTGGGGTGGGGGCGGGGTGCAGCAAGGATGACCGAAGTGCTTAGCCCCTTCCGGAACAGCACCATTCTTTTTTATTTATCTTAGCGCCACACATAGAACGTCACGCTCCGATGCTTCTCTGGTCACTTGACATAAGGTGCTGTTGTCTGCTGTGATGTGTGACCGTGGTGTGCTCGTCTCAGAGACTGTCATGAGCACTAAATGTCAAGTTCCCAGAAGCAGCTGTGACAGCCTGGGCACGGCAGGCTGGAGCCACTGGCATTCGCTGTCCTGCCATCTAATAGTTAATGAGTGGAAACCCCAAGCCCAGTTCTAAGTAAATTATGTTCCCAGAGCTGATACTGCTGGTCCTTGCTCCCAAGATAAAAAACTGCTTTGGAACTTTGTTTTTAAATAGTAGTAGATGCACATGTGACTTGATGGAGGAGGGTTATCTGCCTATTGTGTTATTTTCATTGGTCAATAAAGAGACTGCCTTGGCCCCTTGATAGGACAGAAAATTAGGTAGGTGGAGTAAACAGAACAAAATGCTGGGAAGAGGGCTATGAGGCAGACGCCATGGAGCCAGCCACCAGGTCAGACATGCTGAATCTCTCCCGGTAAGCCACCACCTCGTGGTGATATACAGATTAATAGAAATGGGTTAACCAAGATGTGAGAGTTAGTCAGTAACTAACTCTCTAGAGATAATGGGCCAGGCAGTGCTTAAATGAATACAATTTGTGTGTTATTATTTCTGGGGCTAAGCTAGCTGTGCGGGAGCCGGGCAGGATGAAAAGCAGGCCTGCCCGCAGCCCCTCACTACAGATGGCGCCAACGTGGATAACTGAATCCACAGAAAGCTTGAGAAAGCTTGGGAACAAATAGAGTAAAGCATGTTTTGTTGGTAGCAGCAATTTCTCAGGTCTGCTCTGTTTGCTAGAGCAAGCAAGTGCTCTCGTCTAAGGGAGGCTTCCTGACTCAGCTTTAGCTGCAAAACTTTGTAGCTCATTAAGAGGTCCTGCCACGAAACACTTACAGTGTTGATCAAAAGCTGAATGCATGCTTTTCGGTTTTCAGCCGTAGCAGGAAAAAAGCTGCGCTGTTTTAAAATGCCGGCTTTCTGGACCGTCCTGCCAGGGCAAACTCTGACTCTTTCAGGCAGTCAGTCCGACTGAGTGTGATCTGTGAGCAGAATGCTGCAGCTTGCTTGCTGGCAAGGACCTTGAAATGCCATAGAGTTGTGGCAGTGAACACAGCTCTGGCTGGTATCTCAGCCGTGAGGCTGGAAAGCTAAAAAATGAGCTGGATCTAACCGTCAAAGCCATGGCTCTCCATATTGATTACTAAATTAAAGGCTTATGAAGTCAGAAAAAGAGAGATATACAGTAAAGAGAGATTCAAAGATGAAAAAAAAACTCTAAATGGTTTACTATGTGTTAAAAATACATGCAGGTTAAAGGTTAAAGTTCTTAGGGTAAAAAGGGAAGAAAGAGAGTAGTTGGATGTGGTAGAACACACCTTTAATCCCAATGCCAGGGAGGTAGAGGTACTTTGACCTCTGAGACTTTAAGGGACAGAGATAGTTGACCTCTGTGACTTCAAGGTGTAGTAGCACACACCTTTAATCCCAATGCCTAGGAGGCAGAGACAGAAGCATCTCTGAGTCAAGGTATGGTATCACACGCCTTTAATCCCAGCACTTGGGAGGCAGAGACAAGTGGATCTCTGTGAGTTCAAGGACAGCCAGGTCTACAGAGTTATTCCAGGATAAAGATATATACAGAGAACCTGTCTCAAAAAGCCAAAAGTTAAAAGTAAAAATAAAAGAAATAGAGGTTGAAATAAAGCTGCATAAAGATGGAAAATACACAGAGAATCTTGATACTGTATGTTATTATGCTCTCTTTGAATTGTTTGAATGCTGAGAAAGGAGCAACAGCTGCTATAAGATATTTGTTTATAAATGCTGCTGAACTAATCCAAGATAGGTATGTTGAAAATACCTTGACTTCTGAATTTGGATCTAAGGATATGATACTTTGGAAAGGAGGTTCTTCTTTTGTTTTCACAGAGGATGAGACCCTGTGGATTGCTTCTATCCCAATATGGTATGATAGACCACGTCCTCCTGAAAGGTTGCTGTGAACACCCTCAAAAAATTACTTCATTCAACTATCAACTGAGACGAAGCTAGCAAACAGGTTTACTGTGAAAGACCTGATTAACAGCGTCCCTATTCAGCAGGAAGAAGTTTGGAGAGAAATAACTACGTCCATATTCCCAGATATTGTTTATAAATGTTCTTTTACATTTAAAGGGGGATATGATATAGATATGAATAATTTCATTGGTATGGATTTTAAGGTCAATTTTGTTATATGTATATATATTTCTGATCTTGATTGATGTATTGTGATTGTATAGCTCATTTAAAAATGCAATGTATAATTAAAAATATAGGTTGTTAATGGATAATCATCGATAATAGTCAAGCTTGTAGTAATGTTAGTTTGATTTTGTAGATGTGCATAGATATATTTCAGAGAGACATTCTTCATATCTTTCAAAGACTACAGAACATAGCATTTAATGTTTTAATAACTTAGGACTTTTCATGACAATGAGACACATCTGCTTTTGGTAGCACCAATCTACTTCAAGAGGAAGAAGGGCATCGAAGAGGCTCCTTATGGAGTTGGTTAGCCATTTGGGCAAGAAACTGTTCTTGCCTGGACTGTTGTATAAATTGGACACAGAGAACCCACAGAGAGAGGACTGCTGAACTTGCCTAAAGGTGAGATGATCTTTCGGGGTTCCTGATTCATGAAGGAGTCTGCGAGACATTCTGCGGGACACAGCAGATAGTGACTGAACTGTCTTTAAAAGTTCCTGCTTCATGGAAATGTCTGCTGGATATTATGGGCCTGAACGCCGAAAATGGATGCCCCAACAATACAGAGGAACTTTGGGTCACTGTCCAGGCAGTGAGATGTCTATGTCATTTCTAGAGTTTTGGAAGTTGCTTACTTCTTGTTTACTTAGGTAATATATCATGTGTAATTTTACTATGTTAAAATGAAAGCCTTTCTT